GAGTGTAGCACCTGTATAAATTATTTCCTAAGTCTTTCACTCAAAAAACGAGGTATTCAGAGGTTCACAAGGTCAGCGGGGAATCCGAGAAATAATCCATCTTGGTTCACACCCCACTGTTAGAACGATGCTGGAATGATAATGGCTCAGAAAAAGAGAGGATCCCACCGCCCTCCTTTCTCCCTGCAGCTCTTTCCGAGGTGAAGCTTTCTTTTGCCGTTCCTTCTCCTGTTTTCCCTCTTCAGCTACATTTAGCTCCGAGGCGGGCGGATACGCCAAGAATTACTTGCAGGTTTACTCAGAGGGCAGCGGAGACTGTGGGAGAATGAAAAGAAGCCGTGTTAGACATGAGACATAGTCCTGACCTTTACCAAATATGGCACCGTCATTGTTCGCAAGTCTCTCCTTAGCTTGGAGAAAAAGCTAAAAGTGGCACGTTACCAAATTCATCTTGGAACTTTTTCGTGTTGAGCGTTTCTGCAGAGCCCATCATCTTGTGAAGTTTACCATCTGGTGAGATTCACAGTTTTATAGTTGCATTTACCGAATGAGTTGCTGTTAATCTTCTTACCAATTCCCATACAAATGAAAACAACAAATCTATCTGAGCTGTAATTAGTTTAGTTTAGTGAAACCTACTTGCATTAGTTAATTTGGTAAAGAAACATCAACATAAAACATTTTATTTGGACTCCATAAAGAAAATTCCCAAATGGATTAAAATTGAACATTGAGAGTATTGTTACCTGATCAAGATTCATGTCCATATCTCTGACATGTAGAACCTTTTTTTTTTATGCACATAATTTGAATTTCTAATTACCAGTTTTAAATCTGAGTAAAAGGTTGAAGAAAGGAGGAAAATATTTGACGTCTGGCAAATTCTGAAACAAACAAGCGCTGGTGTTTTTACTTTCTTTAGATTTTGAATCAGATTAGTAATTCTCCAAAGAAGAAGAAAAAAAAACAAAAAACAAACAAAGAATCCCACAAGATATTTAGACATTGATCTTCACAGTAACTTGCCAAAATATTCATACCCATTTTATGCTGCATTCAGTTTTGTATGTTACATCAAGAAATGAGCAGTGCTCGTTATAGTCATAAA